TCCTGCCCCGTCAGGTGTGTCCCAGGTAGATGCAGTCGAGCCTGTCGAGATAACTGTTGACTCGGGTGCTGCTAGAGGTGCTGAGCCTGCGGGTACCGGGTCTGGAGGTGCTGAGCGTGAGGGTGCGGAGCCTGGGGGTGCTGAGTCCAAGGGTGCGGAGCCTGGGGGTGCTGAGCCTTGGGGTGCTGAGTCTTGGGGTGCTGAGCCTGGGGGTGCTGAGTCGGGGGGTGCTGAGCCTGGGGGTGCTGAGCCTGAGGGTGCGGAGCCTAGGGGTGCTGGGTCTGCTCGTGTGGCCTGTCGCGGTGCTTCGTTGAGGTGGGAGCCACTCTCTCCGCAGGAGCTGCGCGAGTGGTTTGCCCGGCGCTAGAGCCGTCCTGCTGGTCCCGGAGGTGCTCGTACAGGCGGTACTGGAGCTGCTGGGGCTGAGGGTGCTGCTGGGGCTGCTGGAGTTAGTCCTGTTGGAGGTATTGCTGGAGCTGCTGGCGGTACTGGAGCTGCCCATCCTGCTGGTGTTGGTGCTGGTGGAGCTGTTGGAGCTGGAGCTGCAGGGGGTGTTGGCGCTGGAGGTTCTGCTGGCACTGGTGCGTCTGAGGGTGCAGGAGTTGGCGCTGTTGGAGATGGAGGATCTGCTGGCGCTGGTGCTGCCGCTGGGGGTACTGGTGCTGTCCCTGCTGGTTCTGGAGGCGCTGCGCGGCCGAGGTCGTACTTCGTTCCGCTCCTTGAGCAGGTTCTTGGTCTTCCGCCTTCTACTAGTCCTGCTTCTCCCTTAGAGTGTCCACCGCCTGTCTAGTCACAGTCATAGTTACAGCCCGCCTCCCCCCCGCTTGCTCCTTCTCCCTACACTGGTCCTACTGGAGGTCTTGCTGAGCGTCGTGAGCCTGCGTCTCGTCTTGCATCGCCTGTTCGTGCTGCTCGCACTAGTGGTCATGCTCCGCGTCCGCGTCCTCCTGCGATCCCAGGCACATACCAGATGGCACTGCGTCCTTCCACTGCTCCTCTGCGTGTCCCGTTGCCGTCTCCTCCAGAGTCCTCTCTTCCTGTTCTTGCTGACCCGGAGTCTGACTCTCTTCGTGCTGCCAGTCCTACTGTCACGCGTCTCCTGGCTACTGTTGTCACTGACCCTTCTTTTGAGTCCACTGCTGCGTCTGCCCTAGTTGCTGAGCTTGTCGACTTCGCAGCTCGCTGTCGTCTAGTCTACGCGGCTAGTCTTGTTGTTGAGTCTGAGTCTGTCTGTCCTCCGTCCGTCGGGGGTGAGTGTGCCCTTGGCACGGACGTCCTTGAGGACAGGCAGGAGGAGTTCCAGTGTTTTGCTGCTGCTTTGCCTCATCTCGTGTCCACGCTGATTGCCCTTGAGGGAGACCCAGATGCACCAGACATCCCGACTCCTCGATCGTACGCTGAGGCGATCGAGGGTCCCTACTCCTCTCAGTGGCAGTCAGCCATGGACGCAGAGATGGCTTCTTGGAAGTCCATAGGCACCTACGTCGACGAGGTTCCCCCACCTGGGGCGAACATCGTCATGGCATGTGGATTTTCAGGGTGAAGCGGCCGCCGGGTTCTCCGCCTGTCTTCAAGGCTCTTTACGTGGCTCGAGGCTTCAGTGAGCAGCAGGGAGTTGACTACTTTCAGACCTTCTCTCCCACCCCGAAGATGACCACTCTTCAGGTGCTGCTGCACATAGCCGCTCAGCGCGACTACGAGCTTCACTCTCTTGACTTCAGCACAGCTTTCCTGCAGGGCAGCCTGCACGAGGAGATCTGGCTGCGCCGCCCTCCTGGCTTCACTGGGTCGTTTCTCCCTGGTACCCAGTGGAGCCTACGGCGGCCAGTCTATGGTCTCCGCCAGGCGCCCCGTGAGTGGCACGACACACTGAGAACTACACTTGCGGCTCTTGGGTTTGCTCCTTCTACTGCTGACCTGTCGCTGTTTCTGCGCACCGACACCTCTTTGCCGCCGTTCTACATCCTCGTGTACGTCGACGACTTGGTCTTTGCCACTCCTGACACTGCTGGACTAGCCCACGTGAAGTCGGAGCTGTAGAAGAGACACACGTGCACAGACCTGGGTGAACTGCGCAGCTACCTTGGCTTGCAGATCACCCGGGACAGAGCACAGCGCACCATTACCCTGACTCAGTCACACATGGTGCAGCAGGTCCTTCAGCACTTCGACTTCACGTACTCCTCGCCTCAGGCCACTCCTCTGTCTACTCGCCACTCGCTCTCAGCTCTGCCTTCGGATGAGTCCGTAGAGCCGAGTGGCCCGTACCCAGAGCTTGTTGGCTGCCTCATGTACTTGATGACCTGCACTCGACCTGACCTTGCATACCCTCTTAGCATCTTGGCACGCTATGTTGCTCCTGAGAGACACCGACCAGAGCACATGGCTGCAGCGAAGAGGGTGTTGCGCTACTTGTGCAGTACGTCGGGCATGGGGCTAGTGCTTGGAGGGCGACCTCGAGTGGTCCTCATAGGTCACGCAGACGCTTCTTGGGCTGACGACCAGGCTACGCAACGGTCGTCACAGGGTTACACCTTCAGCCTTGGCTGCGGCTCTGTTTCGTGGCGGTCTACCCGCTCGTCTTCTGTTCTCAGCTCCAGCTGTAAGGCTGAGATCTACGCGGGGGCCATGGCTGCACAGGAGCTACAATGGCTCACCTACCTGCTGACTGACCTTGGAGAGCAGCCTCGTTCTCCTCCAGTTCTGTACGTAGACAACAAGGCCATGCTGGCCTTGTGTCGGGAGCACAGACTGGAGCACAGAACGAAGCACATTGCTCTTCGCTACTTTCTTGCTCGTCAGCTGCAGCAGCGTGGTCAGCTGCGCCTTGCTTACGTGGCCTCTGAGGCCAACACTGCTGATATCTTTACCAAGGCACTTCCGCCTGGTGATCATCAGCGCTTCTGTACTATGCTAGGTCTTGTTCCTACTTGGCCTCACTTGCTCACTTCTTGACCTTGCTTGTACTGTGATCTTTCTATACCTGCACTTGCTTGTTTACCTTTATATATGATCTTGCATGTGAACTGGCCTTGTGGCCTTGCTCTTGTGCTCGGATTGTGTGGTGACGTTGTGATCCACCCTGAGCTTGCTTTGCTTTGCTTGACTGGTCTTGTGACCTCTTGTTCTCCCCCACTTTGCCTATTGGGGTGTGTCAAACTCATATCATATAGCTTGTCTAGGCTATAGTGGGGTAGGCACTATGGGGTACAGTTTCCTAGGGTTTCCTACTTGTACCCAACCTTGTGCTAGTTCATTCGATTCCTCGTTTCTTCACAGAGAAGTACTGTGCAAAGTGAACAGTAAAACCCCCTGTAACATCCTGACCCACTGCAGCGTGTACTCTCAATCTCGCTTCACAATTTGGTGCCTTGCATTGTTTGCAATTCCTCTGGTTCTGACGCGTGTCGGTCGGAGAGTGCATGCATTGACGCAGTGCAGTCAAGTAACCTTATCTACACCTCACTTACAAGTGGTGTGAATCGGTGTGCACCTCACGCTTACTCTCACGGGTTTCCGGACCTTAATCTTTTGTCAGCTTGGCACATTCTTACGCCAGGTGAACAATTTTGTGCTCATGCACTAGATGCCGCTCACACTTTCACTTGTGAGCCGGTCCACCAAACCGTGATGTGACATGGCGTTGTTATGTGCCACCTTGCACCTAGTGCATCTTTCTCTGCGCTTTCGGAACCTCGAATTCGTATCCTTCTCACGGGGCACAATTCCTCCTTTCCTCGCCCACTTACTTTTACCTACCAGATCAATTCATTCCCAAAGACTCCTCGGTGGTTATTTTCTCCCCATCTCTCCCCCCATCCCCCTTCTCCTCCCCCTCCCTCCCCTCCCACGCCCCCCTTTCCTCACCCCACCACCCCCGTCACACCACCAAACCCTTAGTGTGATGACCAGTGTGTTGGGATAACCACTGCGATTTCATTGGGCAAGCAAGATGCTCCAGAGTTGAGATATGGCGCTGCAATTCTGTTGCAAAGATGCCACTTGGAAGTTTTCGTTAGGAGGTGTAACTTCGCAAGTATAAGTCGTTACTGCCCGTTTCTCTCACTTTGTTAAGGCTGGAAATGGTGCACCTTATAGGATACAATTCATTCATCCTAAATGTCAAACATATATGATATAGCCTGTGTAGGCTGTAGTGGGGTAGACATTATGGGGTACAACTTTTCTAGGTTTTCATACTTGTACCCATCTCCTATCTAGTCCACACCATTCCTCGTACTATTCTCACATGGTACCAGAGCGGGTTCCCTAGTGGGACCGCTTTTTTTTAGGGCCCACCACTTAAATAATTTTTTTCCTGCCCTGCCCGAAGCGCGCTCCTGCCCCTGTCGCGCGCCTCGCGCCTGCCTCACATGCGCCCCATGCGCCTACCCTGCTGTCGCGGCCCTGTTTGAAGCTGTCGTGGCCCTGCCCTGCCGTCGCGGCCCTCCCTGCAGCCGTCGCGGCCCTACCTTGCTGTCGCGGCCCTGCCGCCCTGCAGTCGCGGCCCTGCCGCCCTGCCGTCGCGGCCCTCCCTGACGCCGTCGCGGCCATGCGGCCCTGCCGCCCTACCGTCGCGGCCCTCCCTGATGCCATTGCGGCCCTGCCCTCCCGTTGCGGCCCTGTCGCCCTGCTGTCGCGACCCTGCCTGAAGCCGTCACGGCCCTGCCTGCCGCCGCCGCGGCCCGTCCTACGGCCGCCGTCGCGGCCCTGCCTACCGCCGCTGTTGCGGCCCTGCCTCGTCGCGGCCCTGCCTGACGCGGCCCTGACCTGCCGGCGCGCCACGGCCCTGCCCTTCCAGTTGCGGCCCTACCCTGATCCCGCCCTGGTAAGCACACCGCCGCACCCGCGCCACCCTGCCAAGCCGCGCAGCCTTACCGAGCCGTGCCGCCCTACCAAGCCGCGCCGCCCTGCCGAGTCGCGCTGCTCTTGCTGCTGCTGCTGCTGCTGCTGCTGCTGCTGCTGCTGCTGATGCTGCTACTACTACTGCTACTGCTGTCATGGCTACCCCTAATGTACTTACCTTCGATGCTAAGGGTCGGGCGGTTGATTTCGAGGTCTGGGTCGATGATCTGCAGCTGTTTCTACAGTGCGATTCTAGGGACGGAGTCTCACTGTTCGATCTCACGTCTGGCGTCTCTGTTGCACCTGTTGCCGATGCTGACAGTACTGTTCGCTCGCAGTGGACCACGCGCGATGCTACTGCCCGTCTTGCTGTTCGTAGTCACCTGCCGTCTGCTGAGCGCGCGCACTTTAGCCAGTACAAGACCGCTAGGACTCTGTACGACGCTGTTGTTGCGCGCTACTCCTCCCCTGCCACTGCTGCCCTTAGCCGCCTCATGCTGCCGTACCTGTTCCCTGACCTAGCTGCTTTTGCCACAGTCACTGACCTCATTATGCACCTCCGCACTAGTGACACCCGCTACCGCGCTTCGCTTCCTGCCGAGTTCTGCGCCAAGAACCCCCCCCCTATGTACATCACTCTCTACTACCTCGTCACCAGGCTCCCTGACTCCCTTCGCTCGATCAGGGACCACTTCCTCTCCCTTTGCCCCACCACGCTCACCGTTGACCTCCTCGAGGAGTGCCTCTTTGCATCTGAGAAGAGTATAGTCGCTGTAGGAGCCTCTCGTGGTGACCCTCATGCCCCTTTCTTTGAGGGGTGCTCCCCCGTTCCCCTTTTGCCTTATGTTGCCTCTGCTGCTGCTGTCGACCTCGTTGGCACCGAGTCAGTCGGCGCTGCATCTGCTCCTAGTGGGAGGCGCCGCAGCGGCAGGAGCAAGGGGGGCAAGGGTGCTGGATGGGATGGCGGGGGCGGCGGTGGTGGCGGTGGTGGCGGTGGAGGGGGTGGGGGTGGAGGTCGGGGTGGTGGCGGGAGTGGGGGCTTCGGTGGCGGTGGTGGAGGTGGAGGCGGCGGAGGCAGCGGCCGTGGGGGTGGAGGTGGCGGCGGTGGCAGCGGCGGTGGGGGTGGCGGCGGCGATGGTGCTGGTCGGGGTGGTGCTGTGCAGCGGGGAGGCTTTGGCGGTGGCCAGCGCCAGCAGCAGCAGCGCCCTCGTGAGACCTTGTCACCCCAGCAGCTTCATGAGTGGTACGCTGGGCATTGGAGGTTTGGGGGTGCTGGTCCCTGCGCTTACGTTCTCCGCACCGGCGACCGCAGTGGAGAGACGTGCGGCGGCCCGCATGCCACGCTCTGCTGTTTCGACCGACTAATTGACGCCTGGCGTGCACAGTTTCCTGACGCCACTAAGATCCCTCGCTGGGGTGATCTGCTTAAGTCAGGGGTTGCTATCTTTGATCTTGATTATGATGCTATCCTTGCTGCTATGTATGTTGTGTCTATTAGTGCTGAAGGTGACTGTTACCTGTGTGTTCCGCCCGACCCAGGCATTGAGGTTGCTACTCTAGGTGCTAGTGAGTCTGCTGCTCTAGGTGCTGGTGAGGCTGCTCTCTCAGGTACCGCGTTGGCTCAGGTCTTGCACACTTTCACCCTTGACTCGGGTGCTTCCCGCTCCTTCTTTCGCGACTGCACCACACTCTCGCCGATCAGTCAGCCGGTGGCAGTCTCTTTGGCTGAGCCCTCTGGGGGTCCGGTCCTTACACACTCCTCCATGGTTCTGCCGTGTCCGGCGGTCCCGTCTGGCTCTTTGTCTGGCCTCCACCTCCCCTCGTTCTCCACGAACTTGGTGAGTGGAGGTGACCTTCAGGACGCATGGGTTGACCAGTTCACTCCTGGATGTCAGCGGGTGACCCACTGTTCGTGTACTCGGACGGGCCGGCACCTGGCCAACCAGTGGATAATGTAAGAGAGGAGGGAGTGGAGGGGGAGGAGGATGAGAGAGGGGAAGCTGGCCGATCTGATATTTTCTCAGGATTTTCTTCATGTGATTTTCCAGGTGTTTTTTCAGGTGTGCCTTTTGTGATTCGCGATTCTGCTGGACCTGCTTCTGATGTTTCTGCTGCTGCAGATTTTCCTGTCTCGGTTGCACCACTGCAAGAGGAGAAGAAATTGGTGACGAAAGGGAAAGAAGCACAGAAGAGTGAGTGGGTTAGTTAGTGAATACATAGAATGAGATGGTTAGCTGCCTGCATCTGAGTCAGCCAGACACAGTAACAAGCCAACGGGATGCAGAGGAAAATGTTAAGGTATTTTCACGAAAAGTGTCACCCACGTTAGTAGACATACTTGCCGACCTGCTCTGTAAATGTAGGTAAGGGAGGGTCAGCAACACAGGGGGCATGGGGGCACTATAAGACTATGGAAGATGGGGGAACCGAAGGTGGGGTGTATGAGGCAGGAGGGGAGGGGATATGGGAATAATCCAGGATGGCATGTAACATAGTTTGGATTTATCCCCAAAACGTTTGAATCGAGAAATGCTGAAATAAGTTTTGCATAAGCACCAGCTCGCCAAAACAGTATTAGACCAAACCTGCAAGCGAACAGAACCAGAGAAATTTTATTTTGCTGTTCATTGCTCATTTTCTCTATACGGTACACAAGTTTTGTCATTGCTCAAATTCTCTATGCGGTACACTTGTATTCTTCAAAGATGCTAAGAATTGTTACATGGGAAAACACAAAGTGGATTGTCACCTAATAAAAGCTACCATGACTACAGTAAATCCATCCCTTCAAAGGCAATACCATCCAAGGTCCCATTCCCCACTATCTCATACACCACCCCACTCGTCGTCTTATCCCCCGACTGGTGAAAAATACACGGGTACGCCTTCGTCACCTTGGAATACACCTTGATCTCCACTCCAGTCCCTTGCACCTCATATTGTTCCGACCTCCGCCCTCCCAGCAGCTCTATCAGTGCGTTGTAGTGGTCCAGCTTGATAAACGGTGGCGGTGCTGCCTGCCTGGCCTTTTCCAGTCCTGCCGGGGTGATGTTTTGAGGAATCAGGGCTTGCACCGGACCAGGAAGAGAGCAGAGGTACTGCAGCGTGCCGGGCAGAGGAGCAGCAGATGGGGATAAGGACGAATCAGCAGACAAGCCACCAAATTCTTTGATGGCTGGTTTGGTGCCTCCGTGGCTGTCTGTTACTGGTTCAGGGTATGGTGTGCGTGGGAGGGAGCTGAACAGGAATGGCTGGGCCAAATATGCTGCCACAAACTGCCGCTGGTCCTCCATACAGTCACTAGTGTAGGTTGCATCCATCATCTCGCCTAAAGCCCACGCGTACCCAACATAGGACCCTGCATTAACGTGTCGGTTTGGAAAGGGAGATTTCAGCTTTTGAGGGTAGAAGGGGATGACGTCACCCGTTGGATAGGCAAACATCTCAGCACCAAAAACGATAGGAGCGTTAAGGGACAAAAATGCCCTTGTTAACGAATCTGGTCCACATAGCTCCCTGTTTGGCAGCAGTAAGACGTCATCAGCATCTGTTACAATCACAATTCGATCTTTTGGCAGTGTCCTTAGGTACTCTCGATAGTATCTCACCCGACCTCCCAGTCCCTGCCAGGTCTCATTCAAACCCAACACCGCAAGATGGATTCCATTCATCTCACAGAACTTAGCTAAGCGTTGAACGCCTTTCCCACACCGGGTGGAGAAAGTGATCCATTCGATGCTGCAGTTGGAGTAGGTGAAAGCTGACGTTGGCTCTAAGTCGTGAGGGTCTACTGTGGTGTCATATGTGACTCGGCAGCCATCCCTTCCCCCAGCGTCTGCCACTCTCTCACTGCTGCTGCTCTTAGCGCCACTGTGACGCCCCCAGCCTGGATCGGAGATCATTCTGGATGATCCTGGATCGGCAGCTGCCACTTTCCTCCCCCTGATATTGACTTTTTTGGAGTTTTTGCTGCTGCTGCTGCGCCTGCTGTCATAGCCACCCTGCTGCTGCTGCATGATGCGTTGGTAACGAGTTCTGTTTCCGTTGTCAAAGCCTTCCTTACCGCGAACGGCAGCAGCGTTCACCACATCAGAGCATGAAATGCCTCGGAAAAAGGACGTTCCGGTGTGAATGCCACGATACGCAACACCCACGCCGACACAGGAGTCTAAGTAATCTCGAACTGCCTTCACATCTGGGCTCACGCGGGAGGAAAAATGATACAGCCAGAGCATCAGCAGCGCTAACGAAGCGGCAGCGGTGACAGTATGACTGAGGCTCCCTTAACTACACAACACAATAGAGACAGAAACCGCGAGCGGGAGGGTAGACTGAGCCTGGCAGACATTGTGGCACTAGAAAACAAGAGAATCGAACTTAGGTTAATACGAGTAATCCCTGGCCTGATATCGGAAAACGGCCATGAAATACCCCATTCGGATTGCCCGCGTTTTTAGCGCCGCGAGCCAGATCATGCCTGGGGAACCCTTTGATGGGCGGTCCGGGTTGGTGGCAAGGCACCGCCACGATAATCGGCTGCGGGGGAGTTGAGTTGCACACACTCGGGACGGAGGGTGTTCTTGCTGACAACATGATATTGTCGGTCGCACCGACAACTATTCGTCAGAGGTAGGTTATGTAACGTATAAAACAAAACGTTGCTTTGACAGGAGTCGTTTTGGGTTTGAACCGCAAGACTTAGAGCCGACAATTCTGCCAGAATCGTGTCACACGGTAGGGATCTTACCAGGCCGTCTGCGATTCTCAGTGAAGCCTCCAGACCTAAAGTTTTGGCGATTGAAAATTCCGCCACGGAACGACATTTTCGCAACTCACGGATGAGTCTTTCAAGTCAACTATAAACGTTCATGGCGGATGGGCCGTTACTCACGGCCTTACGTGACCTTGGTTGCACTGCAAGGGAAAAGCAAGGGCCAGAAGTGACGAAAATGTGACATTTCCGTCACATTTTCGTATACGGTTTTTGGGGGTAAAAAGGTGATGGTTGGAAGTGCCAAGACCACCGTCACATCCAATGTGACGGTGATGTCACGGAAATGTCACGGAAAAGCTGTCACAACCACCGTCACGGGTCGGTCACATGCAAGTCACGCACAAGTCACACCGGGGTTTCCTCCGTCGGGTAAATAACAAATGCCACGATTAGACACGATCTTATAGGAACCATACACGTGGCGACCATGACGTCATCATGCCATACCCTAAGTTACATTGCTCGAACAGTACAATGCGACTCGAGCCACAGTCCTGTCCAACCAACAGCCTTCACGTGGGCGACCCCTAATAACCTGGGATCGCATCCACACCCTTCGATGTCCGCCACTGTAACTAATGCCCACGCGCCATCTTATGATAAGACCTGCCACCCATTGGTCGACAATACATACAGCACGCTGCCATCCCACCACGTGCATGTGGCGGATGCCGTTGAACTATGGCAACGTGTACGGCTGGAACTAGTCTCTTGATTACTACACCTAGGGACGACACGATAGGGACATCGGCGTGCATCGAACATACTGTATACAATCTGTTTGTATGATGACCGAGCCAGAGCCTCACGATTAGGGAGGCGGCGGAATGGACGGTGATGCTATCTGGTTATATTGGCAAGTCGCGACTCGTGTTCTAGTACCGTAACCCGAAAGCTAGTTAGCAAGATGGGGCGAGAGAAAATGCTGAGTCGGAAATTCTTAGTTCGTTGGAGTCAACCAGAGTAGCCCAGCCAAGTCATTCGACGATGCAGTAGGGTTTGAAGGTTCTACCCTATTCCCCGTATATGCTACCCCGGGGGCTGTTCCCAAACTCTCGAAAACGATCAACAGAGGATTGTGGCTTATGAATGTCTGTACACTTCTGAATACAAATGTACCTTCTGCATCCGTTGAATGATGTCACTAGGCTACTTGGTTGACTCCAACGAACAAGGCACTTCTGACAGTTGCTGTTAGGGCGCGTCAGCTCCCCCCGTATTTGCGAAATTGGATTTTGGCCGCTATTTCGTCGACCATGGTCAACATTGATTTCGCGAAAAACGCTGGTCGACTTCATGACGACACGGAGTCGGCCTGCTTTTGCAAGAACTGCAAACTTGACAGGTTTGCTGGCCAAATTGCAGGCCGCAATACCGAAACTGGAAAAAAATTGCAGTCGCCCAACCGGCCGGTTCGTGCGACGGCGTCTACGCGTGAACTCTGTACATGTGTCTCACCTTCAGTCGCTGGTAACTGTATGCGACGTGCCAGATCTCTGTCGCACCGACGCGTTGGAATCGTGGCCGGTTTGCAGTCGACTCGGCGTCGTTCCCGAGTCGTTTCAAATCGGCCTCAAATTCGCGAACACTGCGACGGTCGCCAAATATCTTGCGAGCGACGCAAACTTGTTACTTTCGTCAAACCGGCCCGACCGAAACCCAAATTTTGAATGTCGCGCGACTTGACGCGCCCTTACCTCGCCATCCTCCCACAAAAAACTACTTCGCGCTTGGCAACCACAGCCCTCTGAAACTCATCCATTCCGCCGCCACCCTAATCACGGCGGTGCCTCTGGCTGGCCTCTGCAGTGTGTACGATGCAGCTGGGGCTCACACCCAGACCTAGCTCTAGACTAGATCAATCCGTGGTCACCCTAGGTCTGTAATCCCATGAGCGTCAAGCTGACTTGAGAGACTCAACCGTCCGCGAGTTATGATAATCTATTATTCCGCGGTAGAAAAAACTAGGAGTAAGAGCGTGGAAGTTTTGCAGCAACCCTAAACCGAAATCCCGGCGATGATCGTGGCCAGGAAATCCGGTTTTCAGCGAACGTGGTTACTAGCTCGGGTTGCTGCGGCGGTTCCTCGCCCTAATCGCCAAAACTTTAGGTCTAGAGGCTTCGCTGAAAATCGCAGACGGCCTGCCGATTTTTCCGCCGGACTCTGGCGTTTCAGTAAAGTCTTTCGGTAGACGGATGAGCCCAGAGGCTTCACTGAAAGTCTTTCTAGCCCGACAACAGATTAGCCGCATTGCATGTGCACACGCTATAGGATACCTGTAAGAATCCTCCCAGCATAACTATAAGAGAACTTCAGCCTTGTGAATGGAGATTGTGTGAGAGAAATGGCGAGTGCAGTGTTTAGCCGAACTGGACGACGAAGCGCGGCACCAGGCCGAATCTCCTTTCCAAGTCTTAGTAAATTGTTCGTGATAGACCATGACTTGCCTCTAGACGTTTCCTGGCTGTCGTCGCTCTGGTTCGTCGCGAAGACAGCCTTCCAGGTGTCATTTCTGGCGACTATGGCGTTCGGGATGCTGTTAGTGTGGGTGTACAAATTTTCGTCCGGCGCGAGTCCCGGTGTCGCAGCCTTTCGCGATTCCTTTGACTCGTGTGTGGGCGTTGGCCTTGCGTATAAGGGAATGCACAGCATGCCGTTTTTCCGCGGAATTGCGTGCTCCGATTTGGTGAACGCAGCAGCCATACGCGGGAAATCAGGCTTCGATAAGGGAAACAGAATCCATTACCAGCACCGCAGCAGCACCAGCGGCAGCAGCAGCCAAGTGGAAACCAATGTAGGAGCAAACAAATCGGAAAGAGACGGTTGCCGAGTCATGTATGATTCCGACGTTGACCCTCGCGATATAAAGCCCACCTCTTCATTCACCCACTCGGGCTGCCAGATCGAATGGATAACTTTCTCCACCCAGTGTGGGAAAGGCGTTCAACGCTTAGCTAAGTTCTGCGACATGGTGGGAGTTCCGTTTGCAGTGCTTGGTCTGAATGAGACGTGGAAGGGCCTCGGCGCGCGTGTGAGGTACTATCGGGAGTACTTAGAGACTCTACCGCGTGATCGAATTGTGATTGTAACAGATGCGGATGACGTATTGTTCCTGCCCAACCGTGAGCTCTGCGGACCAGATCAGCTCGTCAAAGCGTTCCTTTCGCTAAATGCCCCTGTCGTTTTTGGAGCAGAATTCTTTGCGTATCCGACAGCCCAAGCGATTCCGTTTTACCCGCACAAGCTGGGGTCTCCTTTTCCAAATCGGCACCTCAACGCAGGGACTTATGTCGGGTACGCGTGGGCGTTATCGGAAATGATCGACGCGACGTACACGAGTGACTGTATGGAGGACCAGCGACAGTTCGTCACTGGTTACTTGGCCCAACCATACCTCTTCAACTCCCTCCCACGGACGCCTTACCCTGAAACGAATTTCACTTCGATACAGTCACTTCTTTCCCTACAAACAGAGCTGGCAACTACAATTGAAGCAACCCCCCATGCAAACAGGAAATTACAAATCGCCTCCTCCCCCCTCGCACCTGCTCCTGGCACTCTGAAATACCTCTGTGCCCTACCCGGTCCGTTACAAGACCTGATCCCAGAGGATGTCACTCCGGAGAAGCTAGAGGCGGCCAGGCAGGCAGCGCCGCCGTCGTTCATCAAGCTGGACCACTACAACGCTCTGATGGAGCTGCTGGGAGGGCGGCGATTCGAACAGTACGAAGTGCAGGGATCGGGAACGGAGACCAAGGTGTATTCTAAGGTGACTCAAGCTTACCCGTGCGTTTTTCACCAGTCAGGGAATAAGCTGAAGAGAGGGGTGGTGAATGAGATAGTGGAGAATGGGACCCTGGATGCAATGGCATTTGAATGAGCTGCTGACTTGCAGTTGAATAGCTTCTGTGTTGCATGTGCTGTTACTAGCTGATTGTACATGCCTAAGTGTGGTCACCTTGCCCAGTACAATGTGTGCCTGAAACTGTTTGCTCTGAAAACTGATGGTGTTAGACCACACATGGTGTTCATGCTGAGGAGTGCAGCACCAGTGATTTTAGGCCAGAAAGCCGGAAGAGGGAGTCTGGGAGGCGGGAGGCAGGTGGTAAAGCCCTAGAGTTTTCAGGGGAGTGAGTTGGCCGATGGAGTCAGGGAGATGGGAGAGAGGCAGCGAGTGCAGCAACAGTTTCTGTATGCTTAGCCTCTCCCCTCCCTGCCTCTCCTTTCTCCCCTCCCTGCCCCTGATTTCGACCCCACAACGCGCAACCTCTCCCCTCTGTGCCCCTCGTTTCTCCCCGCAGTGTTCTCAGTTTCTTCCCTCCCTGCCCCCATTATTTCCCGGCAATGCCTTCCGTTTCTCCCCTCCCTGCCCTTTGGTTTCCTCTCGCTGCCCTCTCCTCTCCACCTCCTGCTGCCCTCTTACTACAATCAGAATCCCCGTTTCTCCCCACCCTCTCCTCC